CTCCAAGCCCTGTCCAGCCTGGCCTTGGACACTGCCAGGGATCCAGGGGCAGCCACAGCTTCTCTGGGCACCCTGTGCCAGGGCCTGCCCACCCTCCCAGGGAAGAATTTTTTTCCTATAGCAGCAAAGAGACTTCGTGGTCAACTTGGAAGAGCTGTGAGAAATAAGCTACTGTTTACAGCAGCTTCATGTGTGGTTGAGTCCTTTGTTTTTCTAAAATCATGAAGTATAAAAAGCATAAAGCTCAGTGTTTCACACTGATTCACAAGAATTCAGGCTGAGCAGGTTTGGGTAGACAAACTGTCACTTACATATGTTGTGTGTGAACCTTGCAGGCAGAGGAAGGAAGCTTTGTAGTCTAAAATAGAACTGAAGCACATTTTAGCACAAATTAGAGGAGGAAACTACAACCCAAGTTGCTTACTTAGTGTTCACATAGCTCATACAACTAATTAATGAATTAGGAAACAAAGTTTATTTAATTAGGTTTTTAAATTTCCTCTTTAAATAGAGAGTGTAATTCTGAGAAACACAGATGAGACTGGAAGTCAAAAGTTGCACTTGGTTACTGCTGTGTTTATTAGTTACAACAGTGGTTGGCAGCTCTTCCTTGGCAGATGCTGACCCTAAAGGGGTGGATTTTGTTTCAGAAAAGTCTCTTTGCTGCCACTTTAAAAATCTGCTGAATATCCTGGTGAGTTGTTTGGGTTTTTGAGGTTTAAAAGCACCATGGTTTGTGTATTATCTAGTTTTTCTAAAAGTGCAGACTGAATATTCTTTCCCTTCAGCACCATGAAAAGCTGCAGTTGGTTTTTAAAAGCCATCCTGGCATCATAACCACAAGGAAAAGTGGAACTACTGTAGAGCAGACAGCTCCTCCTTTCAGCATGGGAACTGTGGGGTTTGAATTTCTCAAGAAGTAGATTTTTGGGTTGGAACTTCATTATTTGCTCCCGTGCCTGTCTAACACACGTGTGGTCTTGGTGGAGAAAATTGTAACAAAAAGTTGTCTCTAGGTCTGTCAGACTACAAAATCATCAATAAAGCTCGTGAGTGGTTGGGGCTGTGCTGTTTTCAGAGCTGCCTGTCCTCAGTGGCAGCTCTGACATCTCCAGGTCCCTGCACACCCTGAGCCGTGGGAACTCGGAGCTGGGCAGTCTGGGGGTGGTTACATCACAGGGGCACCGATGACATTTCCTGTTCTGTGGTTCAGAAACTCTGCATTTTGTACACAATGCCACTTTTATCACTGGAGAAGTTGCCAAATCCAAGGTTACACCACCTTGCCCAGAGCTTGCAGCTGTCCTGGCTGGTGGCACAGCTGACTGTCACATCTGACACTTGGCTTGCGTCAAGCTCTGCGTCTGTTACTCTTTTTTTTTTTTGCCCGTTTTTCCAACCTGATTTTCCCTAGAAAAAACCAGGATTTTTTAATGAGACCCCAACTGTTTTGAGAAGGTTTTTCAAGGAAAAATCAGACTAACCCTGCTGGAAATTGCTGAAGTTTGGTGCTGTGGCAGCAGGAGTGATTGTTCTGCTGAGTTTGCAGCTTGGCATTATTTCTGTGGTGTGCTCTGTGCCAGCTCCCTGGCTCCCAGAGGTGCAGGGATATTTCAGTGACACACCTTCAGTGTTACAATGAGAGCAGGAAAGGGGCTGGCTTTCTTTCAGGGGAGAAGGGCCTGAATTTCAGTGTGGGGAAGGAGAGAGCAGCACAGACAGGCTCAGGGTCCCACCGGGGACAGCAATGACTGCCCTGGTTCCTCTGTTCCTCATTCAGTGCCCAGGCTCCAAGAGGCTCTTGGTGCCTCCTGTTTGTGGATACCTGGTTTTGTTCCTGGCAAGCTGCTCCTGCTTTTCCTGTTTTGAACTCTGGGGCTGTTTCTGGTGCTGACAATCCTCCCTTTCCCTTCCAGGGGCAGAGTATTGGGTATTGCCAAGGCTGTTTCCTTACAGGTACCTCGTGACCTGAAATGAGCTGATACCTTGAATGCCAGGAGCTGCTTGGTGCAACTGTTGTGTTTTAGATTTCCTTTGCTGGAAGGGTTTTACCCAGCTCTTTGTGTGTGTTCTGGTGGCTGCAGGTACGAAGATGCCTTGGTTCTGTTGCTGACAGAGGTGTTGAACCGGATCCAGTTCAGGTATAACCAGGCACAGCTGGAGGAGCTGGATGACGAGACCCTGGATGATGATGTAAGGAGCAGAGCTGGGCAGCACAGCTTGCACTGCTGACACCTGGAGTGGCTTTTCCAGAGCTTGAACTTGGGAGTATGGGCTAAACAGCTGCTTCTCCCCTCCCTTCTGTGGGGGGTCTGAGCTGTAAAACAGCTTCAGATGCTTTTCACAAAAAGTCACACTGAAGATCTAACCTTTGGGTTGAACTTGGTTTTACTGGGGGGAAAATTTATATCCTTATGTTCTGATTGTCAGAGGTATTAAGTGTCCATGTCATTCCTTTGGAATTGAAAGTGTTTAATTAGTTTGGAATTAATTTGCTGGTCACTTGGGAATTTTAATGCTAAAATATCTCTGAATCAAAAGCTTGAAGCTGTGTATTGTTGGTACTTGTGTTTAAGTTTATTTCTCCTAAGTTGGCATTGCTAAAAATCATCTTGAAGCTGATAAATGTCGAAGTGGAGTAAGTGGCCAAAATGGGTGGGGCCAGAGCTCTGGAAGGACAGGTCAGCTGTCACAAGGGGGTAGGTGAAGGAGCAGAGGGAATTTCACCACGAATGGGATCAGACAGATTTTTAAATTCTGGGGTGTTGAGGTCTGGTCACATCACAGCTTCTGAGCTTGACAGCAGCACCATTTCATAAGCAAAATTAATTATTTTCTTGATTCATTTGACACTTGTATCATCTGGATAATTAGCTGTCATACCTCTGTAAAGACCGTGTTGGTGTTTGGATGCCTTTCCATGGTGATAGTAATGTCACAAATAAGGATATAAATTATCTAAAGCAGTCCTGATGAAGTTATTCTTATGCTTCCAAAACAGGGTGGCAGAGGATAATGATACTTGCAAGACTTTAAGCTTTTGGTATAAAACTTGAAAAGAGTTTTTGTTCATGATTTAAGGACAAAATTAAGTCAGGACATGGTGCTGTTGATTCTCTTGCTGTGTGTATTTCTTGTTCTATTTTTACCTTGTCATATTAATGGCAGGTTTGGGCTGTGATGGTAACAGGCAGCTTCTTTCTCAGTCACCTGTGTAGCTGAGCATGGAGTCTTTTAGTGTTAAAATAATTGTTTAATTCATCTATCAAGTTATTGCCACTCTTTCCCCTCCCTTCTCCTGCGCTGTCCCCCCAGTTTTATCAATTCTGTATGAAAACAGAATGAATCCTATATAAAAACAAATCCGAGTGGAATGTTCCAAGTTCCATTTCTCTAAGGTGCTGCTTTGGGGGGGGGTTTCTCCCTCCTTTCCCAGTGTCCCAAAAGCTGTGTGCTCCCCTGGGAAGGGCTGTGCTCACCCCAGTGTCCCCTTGGTTTGCAGCAGCAGACGGAGTGGCAGCGGTACTTACGCCAGAGCCTGGAAGTGGTGGCCAAAGTCATGGAGCTCCTGCCAACTCACGCCTTCTCCACACTTGTAAGTCCTTCCCCAGCCCCAAATGCCACGTGGAATGAGCAGCAACTGCTGAAGACTTTTTTTTTAATAGATGCCCCAGTGCCAAAAAGAAGTAGGGAAATTTGGGGTTGGATGCAAAACTTGGCAAGGGGAGATGAGAAATTGAAGAGAAAAAATTGGTTTTTTGGCTTCGTTGCATTTCTTGGTGTGTTTTGGAGAGAGTGCTTCTGTCCAGCTTGGTGGACACTCTTGAGAAATTCCCACATCTCAAAGTGTAAACATTTGGCAGCAACCCCTCTGTGCAGTTTGTCTTGGCCTTTATCTCGGAGGCAGGGCTGTGAATTGGGCAGATAAGTGTCATTATTAGGGCTTTAAAGAGAGTAGAATCTTTATTTTAATTAGAGGCTAGATAAAAATGCTGGAAAGAGGCCTTGGGCTTTTGGGAAGCAGATTTGACCTGGATAAGTGCTTCTCTTCAGCTGTTGTCACTGCCTTTGGGGGTGTAAAAGTTGTCTGGATTTGTAGCATCATAACAATTTTGGGGAGGAGATCTTGAGGATAGAAATGTAGCCCAGAATTCAGAGCAGTCCAGGTGGGGTTTTCCTGGGTGAGGAAGCAGAGAAAGAACAGCAGTGGATTAATCCTACTGGGAACACTGCACACCTCGACCTCTGGATTGTATTCCCAAGAAGCAGAGAAAACTGGGCTGCTGCAGAGGCAGAAGATGCCTGACCTGAAGTGCCTTTGCAATTGCTATTTTTCCTGAAGCAGAGAAGCAGAAGCCTGTCACTAGAAGGAGGAAACAAAAGCAGAGGCTGCTGTGCAGCTTTGGTGTGAGTCAGCAGGAGGCACCAAGGAGTGGAGCAGTGTTTCAGGGAGCAGATGGATCAGATGGAGCAGAGCATGTGGCTCCTTGGAGTAACACATTCCCATGAGGAAGGCTCTGTGGTTTTTTAAACTCCCCTCAGGCAGTTATGCAAAGACACTGCACTGTTAATTAGGCACAGCATGTTGGATGCAGAGTAGGGAGTGTTTTCCTGAGCTCTGCATTGTTCCTTCTTGTGGACTGGGGAATGTGGGAGGCTCTCAAGCAGTTCCCTGTGCTTTTCCCAGTGGCTGCAGGGCTGGTGGGTGCAGTGGTTAGTTTAGGAGTTTTAGCAGTGGCAAATAATGAAAGCAGTGGGCAGCAGCTGCCATTGCTCCATCCCAGGCTGGGCAAGGAAAGGATACAGCTCCTTCTGCTCATGGGTGAGAGAACTTCCATAAAACCAACCACCAATTTCAACCATTTTCCCCAAAAGAAATTAAACAGAGCTGTGCCAGGCTGATTGGGTTGAGGAATATTCCTCAGCTGAAGTATGAGCAGGAGCTGGCATGTTTGCTGTCACTGCTGAGTGATGGAGCTGGGCTGACACTCTGCTCCCACACTGGGGTGCATGAGGACTGTGGTGTTTATTCCTTTGGCTGTTTTCCCCATGGAATTTTAGCTGCTGCAGCCTACAGCTTGCTGGCAGAGTGCTGCATTGCTTCCCTTCTGTACCCTGGTAGAGGCACTGAAGCAACTTTCTGGTTAAATAATATTTTGGGAGATTTTTAAGTATCACCTTTTGAGAAGGTGAGGGGGGTGAGCACAGATCTCCTGCACTTCAGACTCTGCCACTCCTCTGCTCCTTGGCCTGGGCTGTACCTCCAGCTGTGCCCCCATTTCCACTGCCAGACCATTCTCTTGTCAGGCTGATTGCTGGGGTTAGAGGCAGAGGAGAGCTGCCACAGGGAAGTGATTTTTGTTTTCCTGACAGCTGTCAGGACCTGGGAAGTTGTGGGATGCAGGATCAGCCCAGAGCCCATCCTGCCCTTCCTCCAAATGTCTGTCTGAAGGCAGTGGGGAGAAATGAGAGAACTCTGCTCTGGCAGAGCAGTCAGTAGTTGGGTCTGCCAAGCCCCAGGATCACAATCAGTTTTTCTCTCTTGCAGTTTCCCGTTCTGCAGGATAACCTGGAAGTGTATCTGGGGCTCCAGCAGTTCGTGGTCACTTCAGGAACAGGTAATAAGCACCCCCTACCACTGCTCCTCCCTCTGTCATCACTGCAAAACCTCTCTAGATGTGCTTTGGTATTGATTTTTCTATATTCAGTTGATCAGAACCTGTGTGGTGTCTTATGGCTCAGGAGTTAAACTCCAGCAGCAGACAAATCTTATAATGTGATTTATTCTTACTGGCTTGGTTCTCCCCTTGTTCTGGTGTTTGAAATGAAGATACCAGAGGTGTTAAGACAGGTGTGCAGCACCAAATGCTACAGCTCCTTCCTGAGAAACAAGGGAAGCAATAGTAGGGAGATCTGCCTGAGGGGAGGTTGTGGTAATACTGAAATTCCCTGATGTGACCAGGAAAGCAATCTGTCACATCTGCAACACTGCTGGACATGGCAGAATGGTGACTGTTGTATAGCCAGTTCTAGAAAAAATATTCCCAGTTTCAGGATCATTTCAGCCCTAGGATAAGCAATGTGTAGAGGTTTAGTGCAGTGGCACCAGCCTGTGTTAGGAGCTGTCCTGGGGGCTGGATCAGCAGCTCAGCTGCAGCTCTGGATTGAGCCCTGGGTGGTGGCACAGAATCCCAGAATGGATTGGGTTGGAAGAGACCAGGAGTGAGCCTCTGATCCAACTTCCTGCCCATCCCAGAGCACGTGGCACAGGATGGTGTGTTTGTATTGATGGCACAAAATGGAGAGGTTGTTGCTGAAAGCTTGAGCTGAGATGAAATACAGTCAGTGGAAAGAAAATCTGATTTTCTTCAAAAGGTGGTGTTGCAGAACATACTTGCTTTTTTAGTAGAAGCTCTGGAATGTTTGAGCCTAGGTATCCACACCTGAGCAGCAGGAGGATTGTGTGGGGCTGGAAAATCTCCTTAGCAGATTGTTTCTTGTGCCTGAGAAATACAGAAGTGCACAACACACCTCACATCAGAAGTGAAGTCACAAATTCTCTGTCCCAAATCTGCTGCTGGATCACTGGAACTGTAGCCAGCAGAGGGAGTGTGGAAAACTGCCTTCTCCATGTGGAAAACCACCTTCTCCAGAGCTGGGAATGCTCCTGATGGCAGCAGAAAACAGAAGAGTTTCTGTTTGTGCAGGAATTACACCATGCAGAAGGAAATAAAGGTGTAGAAGGCTGAAATAGTCACTGACATCTTCATCAACCTTTGCAGTGTTGTCAGAAGAGCTGAGATTTCTTTCCAGGCTCGAGTGCTGCCATTTGACCTGTGACCCAGTGCCAAGCTAATTTCAGAATTCTTGTCATGTAATTAGAATAAACTTTACATTTCCTGTCACTTTGTCACAGGCTTCCCATCCCCAAGAGCTGCAGGGATCCATCAGAGCTGGGGAGTTTTTCCCTTGCACGAGCAGGAATTCCCAGCTCTGGGGGCAGCTGTAGAGAAAACTGATGTGTGGCTGTGGTGTCACTGCAGGTCACAGGCTGAACATCACAGCAGAGAATGACTGCAGGAGGCTGCACTGCTCCCTGAGGGACCTGAGCTCGCTGCTGCAGGCCGTGGGCCGCCTGGCCGAGTACTTCACTGGGGACGTGTTCGCTGCCAGGTTCAACGATGCCCTCACCGTGGTGGAGAGGTGGGTACTGGACTGGCACAGCTCTGTCCAGGCAGACTGGACTGGCATCACCACCAGCTCTTTATTAGAAAGCTTTTCATGCCTTCTTTCAGTGGCCTTCTGACAACTCTGACTCCTTCCCTCATAGGCAGCTCCACACAGCTCTGACTCCTCCTCTCCTCTCTGCATGACTGACTAAACCCCAGCCTGTCCCTTTCCTGTCCTCCTTACCCTGACTGTCCCTCACACAACCACATGTCCCTTACTCCTCACAGCACAGCCAGCACACTCCATCCCAAACTACAGCAGACTCTCAAGCCCCAACACAAACTACAACCTGTGGCCAGCTACCCCAAATAGCACCCAAACTCATTGGGCAGGTACAGATGTTTCCACTCCTCAGTAATCAGTATAGGTGTAATTCATCAAGAGAATTACCTCCTGTACTATCCTTTCAGCCTGTCTTCCCACAGGGTACAGCTGTATTAGCAACTCCAAATATTAGTGCTTATGTTCTTTTTTCTTCTTCCTTCACTCAGAGTCAGGATTGAAGCATGAGAGATGGATTTTTGTGTTGGGACTCAGTTGTTTATTAGTTCTTATCTATAGTACAGAGAGTTTTGCAGCACTTCTAGCTAACAAGCTAAAAGCAAGAAAATGTCAGTGTATCTCACTAGTTACAAGGCCTTTTAAAGGCTAACTATCCAATTAAAAGCTAACATCTATGTTATTTATACTTTTGCCTCAATGACCAAACATCTGTGACCAGCACTGCAGTACCTTCAATCCAATTTACAAAGTTCCACCTAAAACTAAGATGAAGAAGGAACAAAAAGGAAGAAGAGACAATATCCCAGAACCTCCAGCTTGTCCCATGCCTATTACTGTGTTCTAAAACCCCAAATTCCAAACCTTTCACCATGTGATATTCACACTTCTAATTCAAACTACACCCAGTGATTCTAACTCCATCACCCAATTTTGGAAGCCTTCTCCAAGGCCTCAAGTCAAAAGCAGTGTTCTTTTGAGGGTCAGTGTTAGAAAGCACAGGAAGTTCAAAACTCCCAACCTTCAGGGTTCCAACACAGCTGATGCCTTAAGTTTTACATTTCATATTTTCTAGATTCTGTACCGCATTGGTGTGTGACTCTGAACTTCATATAAAGTGTTAGCAAGTTCTCCTCACAGTTCAGTCAGACAAAACAATCCTTTTCCAGCCCCAGAACCAAGGACACGCTGCAGTTTCAGCCCCAAAAATGCAAACAGCAGCGAATTGAGGAGAGAATCTGGGAGGATGGGACTGCAGAACCTGGAGCTGGGACTGGGCAAGGAACTCCAATATGGAAATGGATCAAAACTTAGAAAAGTGTGAAAACCATTTTAGGTCCATCTTGGGTGTAGCCACAGCAGGCTCTTGTGCTGCCCAAGGTGTATCCTTTAAAGGCCTTTTCATAAATCCCTGCTTCATTCCTTTAACACTGTCCAGCCTCTGTTCCAGGGAGCCTCTTTAGGCATCACAGCTGCTGTCACCTCTGCAGGCACAGTGACAAACAGGGCTTCTTTCTGCCTCCCCTTGGCCTGAGGACATTGAGGTGTAAGGAATTTGATGGCCAAAATGTGGATTATAAAGCCAACAGTGTGTGCTGGGCCGAGCCCCAGTGTGGGCACCAGGAGTTGGGGTTCTGCCCCCTGCACCTCTGCTCAGGTGAGACCTCACCTGCACAGCTGCCCCAGCCCTGGGGCCCAGCACAGGAAGGATGTGGAGCTGCTGGAGAGAGTCTGGAGGAGCCCATGGAGATGCTCCAAGGGCTGGAGCCCCTCTGTTCTAGAGCCAGGCTGGGATTTGGATTGTTTCAACCTGGAAAAGAAACAGCTCAGGGGTGACTTGATTACCCCTTCCAGTAACTGAAGGAGCCATCAGGAAAGATGGAGAGAGACCATTTACAATGGTCTGGAGTGCCAGGACAGGGGAAGTGGCTTCCCACTGGCAGAGGGCAGGGATGGATGGGATTTTGGGAAGGAATTGTTCCCTGGCAGGGTGGGCAGGCCCTGGCACAGGGTGCCCAGAGAAGCTGTGGCTGCCCCTGGATCCCTGGCAGTGTCCAAGGCCAGGCTGGACAGGGCTTGGAGCAGCCTGGGACAGTGGGAGGTGTCCCTGCCCATGGCAGGGGTGGAATGAGATAAATTCAATCACTTGAAAACATTGAGGGACTTGTGTTCCAGCATCTGCATTTGTGAGGCAATTAAATAACACATAGAGTTTGACTGGAGTTGTATCTTTCAAAACACTAAATCACCAAAACCTCCTTTGACTTTGTGATCTTCAAGGTCTTTTCCAGCCTGGATAACTCCATGATTCTTCTCTTAAATGAAAAGACCTGTGAAAGCTGAAAGGGCAAACATTTTCTTCTTCCTCTCCAAGATACTTAATTAGCACATGGTTACAAATGGCAGAATTTCAGGCCTTTACCTAGTTTTTGTGTTTTCATTTCTGTGCAGGGCCATCTGACTTGCTCCATTTTATCCCAAACAGTACAGTAGGCTCTGAATTATTTCAAGCTGAATGGTCAAAATCTCATTTGTGTATTAGCTAAATATTGACCTAGACTGGGGAAGAGCTGCACTAGACCAGATGCTGGAGCAGATTTGTACAATCTCTTTGCACTGCCACGTGGTTTTGCCCCTCCAGGTTGGTGAAGGTGACGTTGTATGGATCCCAAATCAAACTGTACAACATCGAGACTGCCGTCCCCTCCGTGCTGAAACCCGACCTCATCGATGTGTGAGTGTGGGGTGCCCCAAACTGGGCACTCCCAGGGTGGGGAAGGCTTGGATCTCCTGCATCTGCTGCTCAGACCCCTCCTTGGCACATATTGAGAAACAGCCTCTCCAGCTGTTGGCAGCTCCCCAGGAAAACACCTTTTTTCAGCTGATGAAAGTCATGGCTGCTGCCAGCATTTTAGATCAGTCTTTCCTCTAATGGAAGTACCCAAGTCATTTATGGGAAAACATGTTTGTGCTGAAAAGGAAAAATGTCCCTTAAATCAGCTCTGAGAGCAAACTGGGATTGTGCCCTGTGCTGGTGGCTGTAAAAGCAGGGTAATTAATGAGGAAATAAGTGTTACAACAGTGATATTTTAAAGAAATGGATCCACTGTGGAGTGTGTAGTTTATTTATAAATCCAATTGATGGATTTTTTGCTACCGAAGGCAGATCTGTGCCTCAGGTAAAAGAGGTTTTTCCCAGTTGAGGGTTTCAAATCCTTGTCTTCCAAGACAAACATAAGCCTGGCAGCTGTGCAAGCCATTTCTGGGACAAACAACTGCCTGCCATCCAGGCACTGACATTGTGTGAAATCTTGGTGCTGCTGGTCACACATCACCTCTGGGACAGATTTTAAGGGACCCTCCCTTGCTGAGGCTGTGCAGCACAAACCTGTTCCCAGTTCTGTGAGCAGAATTTAAGGTTTGAACACTTGTTCTGGTTTGGAATTGCACCTTCAGCAGGTCCTTGAAGACACCCTCTAGATTTTATCATATCACTGTTTAACTAATGGGATTTCTCCTATCAGTCCCAAGTTAATGGCGCTGAAATTTGTGCAGGTGATGTTTTAATGTTTTTTCTGGTTTACAATAATTGGGGAGGTGTTTTCCATCCATCAATCCAGCAAGGATTCACCCTTTTCCCTGTCCCTGAAGAAACCTGTGATCCATTTTCTAATGCTTGCCTGAGAAAGCCACGCTGTCACACATTTGGGGGACACCTGAAATGTCCTGGCTCAATCTTCACGTGATAAAAGTGTGATTATGAAGTGTGGTTACAGTCAAGCACCAGCTGGTGATAACTTGGCTTTATCAATTCACACCTCTATCTTGGTGGGCCCCAAAAAGCAGTGGGGATTTTTAACAAACCACGCTGCCAGATCTGCCCAAAACACCACTCCTGTGTGCCATTATGGTGCTGACTGTGTCCCCTGCTGTCCCCAGGCACGCCCAGTCGCTGGCAGCCCTGCAGGCCTACGCTCACTGGCTGGCCCAGTTCTACAGCGAGGTGCACCGGCAGAACCCCGAGCAGTTCATCTCCCTGGTGTCCACGGCGCTGGAGGCCATCACCCCCCTCATCAGCTCCAAGGTACTGCCCCCCTGGCTCCCCTGGGGGCTGGGGGCTGCACTCTGCTCAGCTGGGACAGGCTGGGAGCTGGGGCTGCATCCCAGAGCCACGGGAAGTGTCCTGACAGCACTGGGGCTCAGGCTAAGCATAAGCAACTGAAAGGCTTTTAAACCCAGACTAATGCTTTTATGGCTTGAAAGCAGGGGAGTCTCTCTCATGGTATTAAGGGAATTCAGCTATTTGGTTGACAAATAAATCATAGAATTGTTTAGGAAAAGCTCTGTAAGATTGAGTCCAATCATTCCTCCAGTACTGCCAAGGCCACCACTGACCCATGTCCCCAAATGCCACATCCACACAGCTTTTAGACCCCTCCAGAGATGGGGACTCCACCACTGCCTGACCACTCTTCCCATGAAGAACTTTTCTCAAAATCCAATCTAAACCTCCCCTGTCCCAGCTTGAGGCCGTTTCCTCATCCTGTCCCTTTTCCCTGGGAGCAGAGCCTGACCCCCCCCGGCTACACCTCCCCAGGTCCTGGCAGCTCAGTGAACTGTCCCTGGCTGTGTGTGCAGAGCCTGACCCCCTCTGGGTGCAGCCCCAGGTCCTGGCAGCTCAGTGAGCTGACCCTGGCTGTGTGTGCAGAGCCTGACCCCCCCTGGCTGCATTCCCCAGGTCCTGGCAGCTCAGTGAGCTGACCCTGGCTGTGTGTGCTGGTGGGACTGGGCAGCCTGACCTCCCCTCTGTGTCTCAGGTGCAGGAGAAGTTGCTGCTCTCTGCGTGCCACCTGCTGGTGTCCCTGGCCACCACGGTGCGCCCAGTGTTCCTGATCAGCATCCCAGCCGTGCAGAAAGTGTTCAACAGGATCACTGACACCTCTGCCCAGCGCCTCCCCGACAAGGTCAGTGGGCCCAGAGCTGTCTCACCTGGCAATCAGCTGTCCTTGGGTGCCTCAGGTGGGGAGGGGTAACCTCAACAATCGAGTGGAGAGGCAGCAATCATCTCTGTATTGTGGATATCCACAAATTACAGTGATACTGTTTGTAATTAATGATCTGTTTCGAGGAAAAAACACAATTGCACCTCTTAGATCTGATGAGTTTCTCGTTTGTTGACACCGTCCCCAGTTCTGCATCATCTTTGCAGTACAGGCACGTTGATTCTGACCTACACAAAGAGTTTTTTGTGAAACTCAAGTGTTTATGTTGCAGAAGCAATGTAAATAATATAAATACTTTCCATTTATAGCACTAAAAGCCACAGTGCTGGGATATGATTGTGTTGTGTGCTGGCAGGGAAGCACAAAGTGCTGCACAAGGGCAGAAGCTCAGGGTGTAAACCAGACAAGGAGTAATGAAAGTAAAATCGTCTTTGTTTCTATAAACACCAGAGATTTACTGCTGCAAGGAAGAGCTGACAGAGCTGGGAGCTGCTTCCAGGCCTTAAATCCTGGAGCTTTGCTTCTCTCTCTCTTTGCAGAGCTGTAGTTTTCACTTGAGCTCGTGTTCTGCAGTTGAACAGTGAGCACTGCTGGTGTCTTGGACGGCCATAAAATGTCACTTCACTCCAGGCTTGTGCTCTAGCAAAAATTCACTCAGAAAAAAAGTTAAAACTTTGTCTCTGCTTAATGTTGCCCAGAGAAGCTATAGCTGCCCCATCCCTAGAAGTGTCCAAGGCCAGGCTGGACTGATCTGTTGGAAGCCTATGGCAGGGAGTTGGAACTATGTGACCTTTAGAGTCCCTTCAACCCAAACCATTCCAAGCTTCAATGGTTCTGCTGTCAGTCCAGCCCTGGTGCTCTGTGGGCCCTTGTAGGTGGCTTTCTGTTCCCATATCTCATAGTGGGTACCAGGAGCTCAGGTGTTGGGTGTTTTGGGAGCTGCAATCCATCCTCAGTGTGCAAGCAGCTCTGCAGAGCCCATCCAGAGCCTCTGACACATCAGAGATGTGCGGTACACCATGAGCTTTAACCTCCCTTCCCACCCAAGCCATCCCATGACTCTTCCCATGGCTGTGATTCCTGTCCCTCCCAGGCCCAGGTGCTGGTGTGCAGGGCTCTGTCCAACGTGCTGCTGCTGCCCTGGCCCAACCTGCCCGAGAGTGAGCAGCAGTGGGCCGTGCGCTCCACCAACCACGCCAGCCTCGTGTCCGCCCTCACCAGGGACTACCGCCAGCTCAAGGCCACGGCCAGCCTGCCCCAGAGGAAGGTGCAGCTGGAGGACAGTAAGTGCCAGTGTCCTTCTCACTCCTGCTGCTCTGGGAGTGTCATTCAGCTGATCGGCCAGTAATTATTTTGGCCGAGAAACCGTTTTGCGTACGGGGAGAAAGGAGCAGGTTGTGTTTTCCTTCTGTTTTTTAGAGGCTTTGCTGCTCTGTACAGGGCACTCTCATCCCAGGTCACCTGTAAACTCTTCCATTAAAGTGCTGTCTTCCTAAGGAAGGTGGGATCAGGGTTGGGATAACAAGAATTGCATTGGGAATACTGAACAGCCTCGTGGTGTAGTAGTAGAAATACTGGCTGGAAGCAGCGTTAATGAAGATTGTGGTTGTAAAAAATGAAGGGGGGAAATCAGAATTTCTTCCAGACTTGGGAAGTATTGGGGAGGGTTTGTTTATATAGGAGGAATGCAAGGAAACTCCTTGCAGGGTAACTGCTGTATATGCTTTGGGCCTGGTGTTGGGTGATTTTTTTTTTTTTTCATTGAGGATCACTTTAGAAATCATTCAGAAATCTGCAATGTCATACATCAGTTGTTTTAATTACTCTGTGTGTGAGCTTAATTCCTCTTCCTCTTACCTGTGAGCAGTTTTGATACATGCAAGAAGCATCACTCCTCTTGTTTTGCAGCCAAAGTGATCATCCACCAGACACTGAGCGTTCTGGAAGACATTGTAGAAAGTGTCTCTGGAGAATCCACCAAGTCCCGGCAGATCTGTTATCAGTCGCTGCAAGAATCCGTGCAGGTCTCACTAGCCCTCTTCCCAGCTTTCATTCATCAGTCAGGTATAACCTCAGGCCAGGGGTCATGCTGTGAGTAGCTTTCTGAGCTCCTGGTAACACCCAGAGCAGCAGCACAGAGTTGTGGTGTGGGTGTGGAGTGTGTGGGTTTGCTGGGAGAGCTGGGCTGAACCACAGCAGGGAAGGGACATCCCTGCCAGCCAGGATCCAGGCAGGATTGTCTCGGTTTCAAAGAGCAGCTGGTCCTGAGCACAAAAAAAAAAAGCTTTAACATAGCCTCTCTGGCTGTATTCGCCATTTACATTCTCTGCAGAAGCTTGAAGACTAAGAGGAATAGTTGTCATCAGATTGGGTCAAATGATGTGAGATTTGGGGATTTTTTTTCCCCGAGATGGAACCAGGACTGCCACTTGGCAGCCTTGTGACCAGCAGCTTGTATTTTGGGTCACATCAGGGTGCTTCCTCTTGTGCCACTTGGAGCTGGATGGGATTTTCTCAGTGTTGGGGGTTGAGGGGAGACAAAAGCAGTGAAATGCAGAGGATCCAAGCAGCAGCAAAGGTGCTGTGACTCTAGGGAGCTGTTGTGCTCAGAACAGGCTGGCAGCCTCATCAATAGCAATTTTTTGGCTATCAAAGGCTGTGTGATGAGGCAGGAGTTGAGCAGCTCCAGCTTGGTTATCCAGTCTTTATTGGCATGGAGGAAGGATCAGCTGGGTGCTGATCAGCTCACTGCATCACCACGTGCTCACTTCTGAAGATAGAAGGGTCTTCTCAGTTCCTGCCAAGAAAACAAGCTGGATTCTGTCTCCTCCACCCCGAGCTGTGTGGGTGTTTTGGATTTCCTGGCGTTTCCTGTTAACCCTGTGTGAGCAGTGAGAACTGGAGATGGGCCTGGAGCTGCCCCTGAGCTTTCTCCCAGCACTCTGAGCACACTGAGGCTCTGCTGGCAGGACTGTGGTTGTTCTGAGGGGTTGGGTGCTTGTCACCCCTGGCAGGTTTTGGAAGGGGATGAACAATCTTGAAGCCCTGTAGGAACCAGCTGATGGTTTCAGTCTCTCAGACAACCCTGTTGGTAAATTCCCAAGAGTAAATGGAGTTCCCTGAACAGGAGGAGCAAACTTCAGACTGAAACATAAAAGACTTACTGATGCACTTGGATGTTTCCTTAACATGTTCTTTTTGCTTTTCTCTTCTCTTAGATGTGACAGATGAGATGCTGAGCTTCTTCCTCACCCTGTTCCAAGGCCTGAGGGTGCAGATGGGAGTGCCTTTCACTGAGCAGATCATACAGACCTTCCTGAACATGTTCACCAGGTACTGCCCAGCACTGGTCACTTCTTTCTTACCCCTCAGGATGGTTTATTTTAGGAGCTGCTCAGCCAGTTGGTCCCTGTCCCTAAAGTGGGCTGTTTCCAGCCTTTGTGGCCAGACTTTTGTCACATCCCAGGGCTGAATCTGAGGAAAACACTTCCAAGTCTAGAGAGCCCCGGTGCATGCTCATCAGTCGTACCTGCCATTGTGAATTCCAGCTCTCCCACAGACTTTCTGGCTGTGTGAGGTGTTGAACTGGACTCTCCCATTCCCTCTTAGCTCCTGCCCAAGGGCTGAGAGTGTCCCCTCACTCATCTTTTGTTGGGGAGGGGGATCTGTCAACCCTCAGTCACAACCTCTATGAAGCCTTCTGTGGCTTCATGTATTTGGCCAGCATTAACTGAGCATTTTAGAGGCATCACCTATTTTTCAGTAAACCAGGTGAGCCCTTTGGATCTCTGGGAATGTTCCTGATGCCTTTTTGTGTCCTGGGGAGCAGCTGGCAGAGCCTTTGGATCTCTGGGAATGTTCCTAATGTCTGTTTGTGTTCCAGGGAGCAGCTGGCAGAGAGCATCCTCCACGAGGGCAGCACTGGCTGCCGGGTGGTGGAGAAGTTCCTGAAGATCCTGCAGGTGGTGGTGCAGGAGCCAGGCCAGGTGTTCAAACCCTTCCTGCCCAGTGTGATCTCGCTGTGCATGGAGCAGGTGTACCCCATCATTGCAGAGGTAGGGCAGCTCTCCAAGGGGAAGGGAAAAGGAAAGGAAACAGGAAAGGATAGGATTGCTGGGGAGGTGGCAGCAGTGAAGCTTTGACTTTCCAAGAGCTGCAAGTGTGGAGGGTAAACACTCTGTGAGGGAGTAGTCAGTGGGATTGGAAGCAGGGTAGGTGGAGGATTTTGTCAGGGATTTCAAGAGAAGCTAAGATTAGGGAGGTGGTCACAGCAGGAGGTACAACTCAGAGTCAGTGATGTGATTTCAGCACAACCCTACAGCTGCTGGGTCTGGTGCTGCCTTAGAAGTGCTTTGATGTTTGGCTGCAAAGCAGTGGATGGGTGGGACCCAGGGTTTGGGGTGGGATCCCAGCAGAGGAGCCTGCCCTGGGCCTTCTTTGGGCCTGCCCTGGGCCTGCTCTGGGCCTGCCCTGGGCCTTCTCTGGGCCTGACCTGAGCCTGCCCTGGGCCTACTTTGGGCCTGCTCTGAGCATGCCCTGAGCTCTGTCCCCTCTCCTGCAGCGCTCATCCCCTGATGTGAAAGCAGAGCTGTTTGAGCTGCTCTTCCGGGTCCTGCACCACAACTGGAGGTACTTCTTCAAATCCAGTGTGCTGGCCAGTGTCCAGAGGGGAGTGGCAGAGGAGCAGATGGAGAATGAAGCCCAGTTCAGTGCCATCATGCAGGTAACTCACCCCTTCCCACCATTGCCCAGAACCTGTCCTGCAGGGGAGCTCATGCTGCTTGGGGCAGTGTGTTAAACATGGAATCACAGAATCATCCAGGCTGGAAAGGCCCTCTGAGACTGGGTCCAATCATTCCCCCAGCACTGCCAAGGCCACCACTAAAACATGTCTCCAAGTGCCACATCCACATGGCTTTTAAATCCCTGCAGGGATGGGGATCCCACCACTGCCCTGGGCAGCTGTGCCAGTGCCTGACCACCTTTCCCATGAAGAAATTTTCCCAATATCCAATCTGTCTTGGCACAATTTGAGGCCGTTCCCTCTCATCCTGTCCCTGTTCCCTGGGAGCAGAGCCCGACCCCCCCGGCTGCCCCCTCCTGTCAGGGAGTTGTGCAGATCCAGAAGGTTCCCCCTGAGCCTCCTTTTCTCCAGGCTGAGCCCCTTTCCCAGCTCCCTCAGCCTCTCCTGGTGCTCCAGCCCCTTCCCCAGCTCTGTTCCATTCCCTGGACACGCTCCAGCCCCTCAGTGTTTTTATTCTTGAGGATCCCACATGGGCACATGTGGGTGATGGGTTTAGATGAGTCTTGAGTGAGGTTTTCCCTCCCAAAACAGATGAAAATGAGAGTTGCTGAGGAGTGACCCAGCTGCTGAGCTCACAAGGCACAGAGCCATGCAGGCATGAGGAAGGAATGTTAATTCCTTGGCAAGCCTTATCCTGCAATAAAAATACATTTACTGCCACTGACCCTTTTAATTCTGAGTGTTGTGATTGGCACTGGGGAGAGCTGCCAGTGCAGGGAAGTTTTCCTGAGTGTCTTTTGCTTTCCCTGGACTTGTTGGGTGCTGTACCACTGGCCCTGGGAAGGGAAGGGTCAGTGGGGTAACACCTGACAAACTTTGGCCTGGAGAATAGAGAATCATGGAATGGTTTGGGTTGAAGGGACCTGAAAACCCATCTAGTTCCACCCCTGCCATGTCCAGGGACACCTCCCACTGTCCCAGGCTGCTCCAAGCCCTGTCCAGCCTGGCCTTGGACACTGCCAGGGATCCAGGGGCAGCCACAGCTTCTCTGTGCCAGGGCCTGCCCACCCTCCCAGGGAACAATTCCTTCCCAATATCCCATCCAGCCCTGCCCTCTGGCAGTGGGAAGCCATTCCCTGTGTCCTGTCCCTCCATCCCTTGTCCCCAGTCCCTCTCCAGCTCTCCTGGAGCCCCTTTAGGCCCTGGAAGGCAGGGACAGCGTGTGCACAGAGCCAGCTCCAACCTTCCCAGGTTGAGACATTGGAATTTTTAAGAATGACTGTGTTCCATGTGTTACCTCAGTCAGAACTGGCCAGATGAGTTCCCTTGCAATTCCTAGATCACCTTAAACTGCAGGTGAGAGGACTTTGGGAGAGTTTCCCCATTGTGGAGTGCCTGGAGAAACTGGGTCCCCTATGGTGCACATGTGGAGAGGGAGCTCTTGCACTGACATCAAGTGGGTCATGTTCCTCTCTGGCCTTGCCTTTTGGTGTGAATGAAGCCCAGGCTGGTTCCTGTGCAGGGCTGTCCAAGCATCTCTCTCACCTGTAGCTGTGTAACACTTCCAAATTCTTGAATGCCTCATTCTGGAAGATGTTGATGTTATAATCTCAGTTCAGGCTGGGTGACAATAATGCACTGCTTGTTTTACTCCTTGGCTCTTGTTGCTCTGATACAAAACTCTTATTTCATGTTCTGTAAGTGTTCCCACAGTCAGTTCTTTGTGTGAGTGATATTAATAGTTTGTATGCTGATTTCCACCTGAGATCTAAGGCCAGAACTGACTCAGTCTTGATGGGATCTGGGTCATTTTTGTCCATTTGACAATAAATGGGTCATGTGGGAGAATAAACTCTTCTGTTCACAATGCCTTGAAGGGGAACTGTTAAAATCCTGCTGCCTGTCTCTGTACAGAGCTGACCTCATCCACTTTCATCCCCTGTACAGTGTTTTGGAGGTGTTCAAGGTGGAAAAGATGTTTGATCACACACTGTGCAGCCCTGCCAGAGCAGCTCAGGCTCCAGCAGGTTTTGTTCTGGGCTCTTCACTGCACAGGCTCCCAGGGCCCATCTCCAAATCCTAGATCAGGGCAGTGACCTTGGGCCCCTGGCTGAGGCTGAGGGCCCACGCTGGGGTGTGTCCTGTCTGTTCCCCCTTGCTGTGGTGCTTTAGGTGACATCCCTGAGGAGCAGCCCTGCCCTTCCTGAGCAGCCTGCCTGCCCAGGGAGCTGGGCTCAGCATCCCTGGCCCTCTCCAGTGCCAGCTTGCTCTGCCTGTTCTCAGTGCACCCAGCTTAGCAGCTGCTCTGCAGGAATATGCCCATGTTCCCACCAAAATGTCATTGCCATGGATCTGGTGGCAGCACAGATTTGAACAACTGCCTGTCTCGTTATCTTGCTGCACTGAGGCTCCCAGGGGTTTGTGCTGGTGTCAGGCTGAAGATGCTGCTGTTCTGCCTGGCAGGTCTGAGGTTTGTGGTGGTCTCCATCCCCTTCCACTGTGCTTTGTTCCCAGGCGTTTGGCCAGTCTTTCCTGCAGCCTGACATTCACCTGTTCAAGCAGAACCTCTTCTACCTGGAGACACTGAACACGAAGCAGAAGCTGTACCACAAGGTGAGTCCTGCCTGAGCCTGTGCTCTCTGTGCATGGGAAGAGCTGGGAGCTGTCCTGGGACTGGTTTTAAACTACTCAGAAGCCCAGGTCAGGATATGGGGGTTTTGTGCCACAGCCTTTGGGTGGTTGCCTTGCTCCAGGTGGTTGAAATGGAGTTACCACCCCCCTGATACTGGGAACTGGGAATGGGAGGGATCCTAGCTCCAGTCAAACAAAGCCTGGATTTGTTCCCTTTTCTGACAGTGAGGGAAAGCACAGAACACACAGTGGCAGTGAGGTGAGTCTGGGGAAGCAGGAATTTGGATCATCAGGGGGATAGTGAGTGCCTCCAGCATTCCCACCTGGGCAGCTGCAGGTATCTGCTGTTCCCAGCTCACTGCCACCTGGGAGTCTCCATCTCTCTTTGAACCCATCCCCCAGGCCCTGTAACCTACCCTTGAAGGATTAAATCTGGAACCCAGGGAATCTGGTCAGCCTGGGAAGGCAGAGCTTTCAGTTTCCCACCTGTGGTCACACCTGAAGGGCAGCCCTTTGTGTTCACAGGTGCCTGGGACAGACTTCTGGCCACATCCCCTGGCTCCCAAGAGCACTGTGCAGGGTACACCTGGCTGGAATTGGGGTGGGACTTGATGCTAGTGGCTTTGCCAATGCTTAAAACTTGGGTCAGAGCATGGAATCAAGGAATGATTTGGGCTGGATGGGACTGGAAAGCTGATTTTTACCCCCCTGCCATGGGCAGGGACACCTTCTCCTATCCCAGGCTGTTCCAAGCCCCATCCAACCTGGCCTTGGACACTCCCAGGGATCCAGGGGCAGCCACAGCTTCTCTGGGCACCCTGTGCCAGGGCCTGCCCACCCTCCCAGGGAACAATTCCTTCCCAGGAACCCTGCCCTCTGGCAGTGGGAAGCCATTCCCTGTGTCCTGTCCCTCCATCCCTTGTCCCAGGTCCCTCTCCAGCTCTCTATGAGCCCCTTTAGGCCCTGGAAGGGGCTCTGAGGTGTCCCTGAAACTCCAAACCATGAGGTAAGTGTGGCCAAGTTCAATGTTAACTTTCAAGCTGATACTAACTGAGCTTATTTTAGCAATTTTTGATCTGCCTTGGCTTAGAAAATCATCTCAGTGCTCAGCAGAGTTTGCAGATGCCGCTGAAGCTTTGGCTGCTCTGTCCTTGCTGGATCCGTGTTCCTGTGGAAGGAGTGAGGTCCCCTAACCCTGTGCCCCTCTCCCTGTGCAGAAGATCTTCAGGACCACGATGCTGTTCCAGTTTGTGAACGTGCTGCTGCAGGTGCTGGTGCACAAGTCCCACGACCTGCTGCAGGAGGAGATCGGCATCGCCACCTACAACATGGCCTCGGTGGACTTCGATGGCTTCTACTCCGCCTTCCTGCCCGAGTTCCTGGCCAGCTGTGACGGCGTGGACTCCAACCAGAAGAACGTGCTGGGGAGGAATTTCAAAATGGACAGGGTAAGGAGGGGACCTGCAGCATTGTGGTGCTCTCAGGATGCTCAGTGCTCCCCCAGAGCAGGCTGGCAGGCAGCTGGGAATGTCTCCACAGTGCCTTTTGTTCCCAACACTTCCCTGCTCAGCAATCCCCAGCCAGGGATTCCTCACTGCAGGTAGCAGAGCTGCTGTCTCACCCCTCAGGCTGCAGGATGCTGGGGCAGTCAGGGAATGTTTCCTGGAGGAAGTTTTCCTTGGAGTGAAAACACTGCCATTGTTTGCCCGTGTAGGATACTCGGGTGCTTGGTTAAATCTCACTCCAGCTGATGGCCAGATGTTCTTGAGGGTTACAGTAAGGACAACAGCAGAGTACCTGCAAAGGCTCACAATTCCTGCAAACCCCTCGTGTATGGGAAGGAAATTTGTGGAATATCATGGCAGAGCAGCAGGTTCTGGCTTCCATTTACTGAGGGCTGTCCATTGAGTGCTCCCTGTCCTGAGGATGGGGATGGGAATTTGAGACCAAGAGTGAGGAGAGGAATGGAATCCTGGGGGAATTAGGAATTACTTGGCTCTAGAAGGCAACTGCTCTTCAGGAATATCAGCCCTTGTTAGGAATTGTGTGACACCCAGGAACCTTGGCAGGAGGACAGCAAGGAAATAGTGCTGCATCTGACCATGGAGCCAGGCTGGGAGAGCTGGGAGTGCTCACCGGGAGGAGAGAGAGATCCAGGGACACCTCAGAGCCCCTTCCAGGGCCTAAAGGAGCTCCAGGAGAGCTGGAGAGGGACTGGGGACAAGGGATGGAGGGACAGGACTGGGAACAGGGAATGGCTTCTCACTGCCAGAGGGCAGGGCTGGATGGGATATTTGGAAGGAATTGTTCCCTGGGAGGGTGGGCAGGCCCTGGCACAGGGTGCCCAGAGAAGCTGTGGCTGCCCCTGGATCCCTGGCAGTGTCCAAGGCCAGGTTGGACAGGGCTTGGAGCAGCCTGGGATAGGGGAAGGTGTCCCTGCCCATGGCAGGAAGTCGAACTGCATGAGTTTTAAGGCCCTTCCCAACCCAGATCATTCCATGATTCCATGGCCATTCCTCTTGGGCCTCACTGCACAATGAGAAGCTGGAGATGGGAGCAGAGCCTGGATCACTGCAGTCAGCTCAGAATCCATCTCTGCCCCAGAAACTGCAGTTCCCTGTGCTCAGACCGAGTCAGGATGGATCTGTTGATGTGTGAACCCCCTCTGGGTGCGTGCCCCTCTCTGTCACCCCCGTGTGAGGCCGTTCCCAGCTGTTGTTGTCTCCCTTGCAGGACCTGCCCTCGTTCACACAGAACGTGCACAGGCTGGTGAACGACCTGCGCTATTACAGACTGTGCAACGACAGCCTGCCCCCGGGCACTGTGAAGTTGTAGTGACTGCCCTGGGCTCCTGCTGCCCCTCGGCAGGGAGCACAGCCGTGTTTCGGTTTGCCACCGCCCCCTGTCCCCCCGGGCCGGGTCCTGCCCTGGATTCACCGCTCCACCGCTTCCTTTGAGTTCTCCCTGCCCAGCCCGAGGCCGCAGCTGGAGCCAGCAGGATGTGTCTTAATGCCCACCCCGGGCATCCCGACTGCTGGGAAATCCCTCTCCTGGGGCTTTCCCTCTGCTCCTGTAGCACTTTGTTGCATCTGGAGGTGTCTGGAGAGATCATGTCCGTATCAAACACGAGGCAGAAGCGCCAAAGACCACTTCAGACATTCGTACCTTCGTGTCATTCCACCTTCCTGCCCCGCCCAGCTCTCGGAGGAGGAGTCTCCTGACGTTGGGACTGGTTTGGCACTTCTGTCACTCCCTTTGTTTTTAAATTGCCTTGAAAACCTCCCCGATGTTGGCGGGGATTTAGAGACTTTTTTTGGGGTTTTTTTTTTAAACGTTTTCTCATCATTCCATTGTGATACTAAAACAACATGCTTAATGGGAATAAAGTGCTTACTTTGTTGTTTTAAATAACTCGGGGCTGGGTTAGTTTCCCTCTAGGTCGTTCTGTAAATGAACACGCAGTGATCCACAGCTTTTCCCAGGATCAGGAATGAGGAGCAGTCAACAAGGATCCCAGCAAGTCCAGCAGCTCCTGGAAAGTGCAGATCAATGGTGGCTGTTTCTTCTGCTGTCTCCTCATTGTTTTCCTCATATATTTTCTGTCACATGTTGTGGTGATCCATTGGTTCCCTCCAGCACACTTATCTGAATCGATCATGAAGTGCCTGCAGGAAGAAATCCCCCATTCCCAGGGAGCCTGGAGCTGAAGTTCACCCTCTGACCAGTGACCCAATAGTGGCACCAGACACCAGGCAGGCAGGACCAGACTGTGTGGGGCTTGTGGATCTCTGATCCTGCAGCTGGGAAGGATTTCTTTTCCCTGAGGTCTCTGGTCAGGAAGCAGTATTAAATCAGTCTTAATTTTTATATAGATCAAATTTGAGAGAAACTTCTTACAAGGGCATGGAGTGACAGGAAAGGGGCAAATGGCCTTAGGCTGAATGAAGTCAGGGCTGGATGGGATATTGAGAAGGAATTGTTTCCTGGAGGGTGGGCAGGCCCTGGCACAGGGTGCTCAGAGAAGCTGTGGCTGCCCCTGGATCCCTGGCAGTGTCCAAGGCCAGGTTGGACAGGGCTTGGAGCAGCCTGGGATGGTGGAAGGTGTCCCTGCCCCTGGCAGGGGGTGGAATGCTTCCTTTAAGGTCCCTTCTAACCCAAACCATTCCATGGTTCTGTGAAATCAGTCTTAATTCCCTGTGGTTAAGTGGGCAGCTGAAATGGCAGGAACAACACCAGGCACTGGGAAGGGAACACTCCTGGAGATGTTCTAGGAATGTTTGGAGATGTGGGTGTGATGTGGCTGCACCTGGACAGCTGGGAGGTGTCAGGGGTAAGCTGGAGTGTGGCAGCACTCACTCTATGGTTCCTTGGATTCAGTTTTGTGGACAAGGCCCCTCGCTGCGCACGTTTGTCACTGGGGGATGACAGATGCTGTTTGGATAATCTGTGCAATCCCTGCATCCAGGCTCTGACTGCGGTTGGATGTTTGGGCTCCCTGCCCTGGAGCAGAGTCCAAATGCCCAGGATCTGCCTCACCTGCTCCAGCCCATGCAGGAGAAGGAAGGTGAAGGAAGAGGGGAAGGAGGTGGGTGATGATCTGTGCCCAGCCTTCCTGGAATAACACTTGGAGTGCCACTGTCTGCACATGACACTGGGACTCTTTATTGTTCCTGCTGGTAACTGGGTGCATGAACAGCCAGTGCAGGGTCCAGACCTGGTCCTGCAGCCTGGCCCTGCTCCTGAGCACTGTCAGCAGCTCTGCCCTGCCCTGAGCTGCCCTGGGGGACACTGGAAGCTGGCAGCCACCTCCTCCACCAGTTCCCTGTCTGTGGCTCCCTTTGGAGCTGGGCTGAAGGGATTTCATCCCAGCACAGCTTTCCAGGCTCATACTTCTCTTTCTTTGCTTGACAGAAGGTGAAAATCCAAGTTTTCCCCTTGGTCAGTGCAGCTGCCAGATGCCTGAAGTCCAGGCTCCAATCTGCTACCCCTTGTCCTAAAACCTCTTTCCCCTTTGCCACCCTTCTGTCCCATTCCCTCTGGCCTGGCAGACCCTGGAAAGGGGCCTTTCCCCAGTCCCTTGTTTGGGGGCACAAAATCTCTTTTCCACCACCTGTTGAATCCATTTGCCCTGGGCTGTTTTTTGCCATGATGCTGAGCACAGCAGGTCCCCAGAGCCCCCAGGCTCTGGCAGGTGTTCTGTGCCCTGCACTCCCTGTGCCTTGGGAAAGCAGGGTGGTAACAGGGAGAGTGGAATCAAACCCAGCCCTCAGTTTCTTCCTGTGTGTGCCTTAGGATACTCCTCAGTCCTTCAAATCAGCACAGATTTGGGAAACAGACTCAAAGTAACCAGGGTCTTCCATGAACTTGTCAAGCTGCTCTCCCACGAGGTGTCTCTGAGTGCATGGGAAGCCCAGGAAAGAGTGATTTCCCAGCCTGGGGTCTGGAATGGAGCTTGGAGAAGTGATCAGAGTTCCTCTGCCCCAAGGGTCTTGCAGCCCTTCCCCAGCACCTGCTGTGTCCAGGGCAGGTCTGTGCCCCACAGGGGACACTGCCCTGGCTGCTCCCGGGGCTGGGGATTCCCTTGTGCCCAGCTCAGCCTGGCATGGACTGACCCGGCCTCTCCCTGCCTGGTGAATCGAGGGCAAAGCACGAGGCAGGTTTTGGCTCCTGGCAGGGCCTGGCTCCCCTCGGGGTGGGTGTGGGCTGTGCTCCCACCCTGGCAGGGCTTGGGAATCCAAAGTAGGATGTTCGGTGTCAGGATGCTCCATGCTGGAATGCTCTGGATGGGGAGGATGCTCCATCCCGTCATATCCCGAGCAGGCGCGGCCCGGCCCGGCCCCAGCAGCTACTTTAAGGGGAGGGACGGAGCCTGAGCCGTCCCCGGGCTCGGCCGGGCCCTTAAAGCCTCCGCAGACCGAGCGAGCCCGGTCCGACCCGCCGGGGCCGCCATGGGCTCCCTGGGGCGCTGCCTGGCCCGGAGCCTCCCGCGGGGGCAGCCGGGCCTGAGCCCCCCCGGGCCCCGCTGCTACGGCTCCGGTGAGACACGGCCCCGTCCCTGTCCTGCCCCTAGGGACCCTGTCCCCACCCTCGTCCTGCCCCTAGGGACCCTGTCCCCACCCCTGCTCCGGAGAACCCGGTCCCCATCCCTGGGATCCTTCAGCCCCTTCCCCGTCCTGCCCCTGGGGACCCTTTCCCCATCCCGTCCCAGTCCCCTGCTTGTGCTGTCCCTCAGAGCTGCTGTTCCCATCCTGTCCCCACGGTGCCTCATCCCCTCGCAGTGTCCCCGTCCCTCTATCCCGGGGGGTGGCGGCTCACGGGCTCCTGTCACCCTTTGCGGAGGGAGTCGGTGCCAGGCTCTGCTGTCCCGGGATGGGACAGGGGCCGGCGCTGCCGCTCCCTGAAGGTCCCAAGGGGTTCAGTGTCCCCAGGACTGTGGCGGGGGGACCCGGGTGCTGTCCAGGGAGGACAGGGCATGACCCTGGCAAAGCCGAGCCGTTTTCAGCAGTGCCCGGGGACGCGGGTGAGATCACGGGCTCGGTTTATCCGGCTCTGTCCCCGCCAGCTCTGGGGCCACCCGGCCTCGCAGCCCGGGACGGGTCCCCGAAGCCTGGGATTGCAGTGAAGTGTCCTCCCTCTTCCTTCCCTTCCTTCCTGTCCCCTCTGTCCCTGCAGCGGACGGGATGCGCTGTCCCTTGGGGGCTTCTGTCCCCTCCTGCGGCGCAGCCGTGGCGGGCTGGGACCCTGCTGTCCCCGGGGTGACAGCGGGGCCGGACCCTGCGTCCTTGGCCATGGATTTTCCTCTCCAGCAGCGGAGAGCTGTGCCCGGGACCCTCGGGCGGCGGGAAGAGTCCCCAGCACCAGGACACGGCACAGACATCCCTGGCTTATTAAAGGCTCTTTCCTGGCCACGGACATGTCCCCAACACCCACCAGGGCTTTGTGGCACGTCCCTTGGGACGCCACCAGCCTGAGAGGCACAGCTTGTCCAGGGAACACGGGATGGGATGGGGACAGGGCTGGGGACAGCGATGGGAACGGGTTCCCATGGGCAGCCTCGGGGCCGTGGTGCCGCGGGGACAGCCCGGGGCTCTCCTGGCGCCGTGCCCGTGTGTGGCGGGGTCCTGTGTCCCGCGGCGGTGACAGTGACCCGCGGGCCCCGCGCAGCGCCCCCGGCCCTGCAGGAGAAGACGCTGGTGGTGGCCAAGCCGGACGCGCTGCAGCGGCGGCTGCTGGGGGACATCATCCAGCGCTTCGAGCGCCGCGGCTTCAAACTGGTGGCCATGAAGCTGCTCCAGGTACCGGGCCCGGCGGGGAACGGGGAGCCGGGAGCGGGGGTGGGCGGGGGACACTGCCCGGGTGTCACTGTCACTGTCACTGTCACCACTGCTGCCTCAGGCGGACCGGAGGCTCGTGGACCAGCACTACGAGCAGCTGCGGCTGAAGCCCTTCTACCCCGCGCTCGTCGCGTACATGACCTCGGGGCCGGTGGTGGCCATGGTGAGGGGACAGTTCGGGGGTCCCGGGGGGGTCGCGGGGGCGCAGGGGACTCAGCCGTCCCTGTCCCGCAGGTGTGGGAGGGATACAACGTGGTGCGGTGCATACGGGCCATGGTCGGGGACAGCAGCACTGTGGGGACCATCCGGGGAGACCTCAGCGTGCACATCACCAGGTAGGGCCGCGTGGGGCGGGACCCCAGGGCCGTGGCACTGTCCCCATCCCTGTCCCCTCACAGGAACCTGGTCCATGCCAGTGACTCCGTGGAGACGGCCCAGAGAGAGATTGGCTTCTGGTTCCAGCGGGACGAGCTGGTGGCCTGGGACAGCAGGGACAGGGACAACATCTACGGGCTCTAGGGTCGGAGCCCGGCCAGGGGCACCCCCCGACCCCAATAAACCCGGGTACCTCCAGCTCTGACTCTGGTCTCCTCCCTTGGATGTCACCAGCAAGTGCTGGGGGCTCTGGGAAGCACTGGGATGTCCCCAGAGGTCACTGGGGTGGTGCTGGGGGCTCTGGGTGGCACTGGGATGGTACTGAGCAGCCCTAGAAGGCACCGGGCTGTCCCTGGGGTGTACTGGGGCTGTATTGGGAAGCTCTAGGATGTTACTGGTACATCCGTGGAAGGTACTGGTTAGTACTGGGAAGCTCTGTGAGGCACTGGGATGTCCCTGGGAGCACTGGGGTAGTACTGGGAGACTCTGAGAAGCTCTGGGTGTCCATGGACTGTTTCTGGGGGGGCACTGGATCGGTACTGGGAAGCTCTGCGAGAAACTGGGATAGTACTGGGAAGCTCTGGGATGAACTGGGATGCCTCTAGGAGCACTGAGGCAGTGCTGGGAAGCTCGGGAAGACCCTGGGATGTCCCTGGGAGCACTGGGACAGCACTGGGAGCACTGGGACAGCACTGGGCTGTGCCTGCGGGGGCTCTGCAGGTGACTGGAAGAGACCAGGGTGGGATCTGAGCTGTAAAACTGGGGGCTCCGTGCGACACTGGGACACCGCTGGGTGGCACTGGGACACCACTGAGAGGCAGTGAGATGCCACTTTGAAGCACTGAGACACCACTGGGTGGCACTGGGGGCTGTGGGACACTACGGAAGGCCCTGGGACGCCACTGTGAGATACTGGGACACCACTGGCACAGTGGATATCACTGGTATATCACTGGGACAACACTGGTATATCACCGGGAGCACCGGGACAGCTCTGGGACAGTACTGGGAGCGCTGGGACAGCACTGGGACAGCATTGGGAGCACTGAGACAGCTCTGAGACAGTACTGGGAGCTCCGGGACAGTACTGGGAGCGCTGGAAGCACGGGGAGAGCACTGGGACAGCGCTGGGAGATCACTGGGAGCACTGGGACAGCTCTGGGATCTCCAGACAGCTCCAGCCGCCCCCGCTGCAGTTCCCGCCGTGGCCGCTCGGTGTCGCTGTGTCCCGGGGCGCTCCCGTTGCCAGGTGACGGCGGCGTTGCCCGCGCAGGCGCAGTGAGCAGCGCCCGCCCCGCCATGGCCGAGGCCGCCATGGCCGCGCGGGTGCCCCCGGACGAGGACGGGGATGAGTGTCTGCCCCAGTACCGGCACCTGCTCAGCCCCGACCTGCTCGCGTGAGTCCCGGCGCTCCAGGGTCCAGCCGGGTCGCCTCCCCGGGGCCCGGCTCTGACCGTGTCTCTGTCCCACAGGGGCCAGGTGGCCTTCATCACCGGCGGCGGCTCCGGCATCGGCTTCCGCATCGCCGAGATCTTCATGAGGTGCGGGAGCCCCTGCGCTGGGACAGACCCTTCCTTCCCTTTTTCTTTCCCCCGTTCCCTTCTTCTCTTCCCTTCTTTTCCCTCCCTTCTCTTCTTTTCCCACACTTTCCTCCTCTTCACCCTCCTTCTCTTCTCTTTCCCACCGTCCCATCCCTTTCCCCGCTGCGGTGCCAGGCCCTGGAAGAGCCGGGATGTGCAGCCGAGGGCGGCAGAGCCCTCAGGGAGGCTCCGGGCAGGGCTCTGGCTCTCCCCGTCCGCGTCCTGCGGGCTTGGAGCCGCAGCAATTCCTGCAAGGAACCCCCGAACTCCTCCTGGTGATCCCGAGGTGCTGCTGAGGAGCCCGGCCCTTCTCACCTGCCCCTTCCCTGCAGGCACGGCTGCCGGACCGTCATTGCCAGCAGGAACCTGCAGCGAGTGTCCGAGGTGAGTGCGGACAGCTGCGAGCCCCGAAATCCTTCTGCTCTCTCCCGGTGGAACTGGGAGCCCTGGGAATAGTGCAGTAGGTGGAATGGCTTCCCAGTGCTTCCCAGCCCTGGGCACTCCGGCAGGGTGGGTGTGGGTTTGGAGGGCTGCACCCACAGCAACTCTAGCATGGCTCAGTTAACCTGGAACTTGCTTTGTGGGGGCTGTTCCACCATCATCATGGCTTTTTGTGGGGGAGGGAGACAGAAATGAGCTGTGGGGGAGGTTTGTCAGCAGGGCAGAGCCCAAGGTTGGACTGAAACCTCAGCGTGCAGTAGGAGCTGAGCCCAGGGGCTGTGTGGCTTGAGGTTGGTTGCACAAGTACCCTGTGTGTGTTTTGGGGCAGAGGGGAGGGTGCAGGTGTGCTTGGCTGCCATTTCCCACTCCCTCATGCTCACGTGCCAGAAGAAGCTGCAATGCTCAGCAGGTTTTTAGTCCTCAGGGGTCAGAGTCTTCTGAGGCCACAGAATCTGCAGTCCAGGGCTCTAGCTGCTCATGCACCCGTGTGTTGTTGGGGTTCAAAACCTCTCACAAAGCCCAAAACAAAAGCTGGAGCAGCTCTGAGTGTTGTGTGGAGTTGCTCCTGAGCTCGTGTGTCCCCTGTGCTTAATTCCTTGGGGAAAATCTTACTCTTAATGAGCCATAGGGGTGGCTTGTGACAAACCCTGATCTGCAGAGCTGGTCTGTCTCACAGCCTGACACCCGGCTTCTCTTTCTTTGCCCTTTTGCCCACTGACTTTTTGGATCTAAAGGGCAATTATGCCTGGGGTCATGCCAAAAATGCCTTGCTGGGGTCCAACCTTTGTACTTGCCCTGCAGAGATGTTGCCTGGGATGTGCTGTGTCCATGGCAGCCCGTGCAGGTGACTGGGCTGAGCCAGCTGTGGCTGAGATACAGCATGCAGGAGCTTTCCTTGGCTACCCCAGGGATAGTAGGCTGCACCCAGGCTCTCTCAAGTCTCTTTTTGTTCCTTCAGGCTTCGAAAAAGCTGGTGGCAGCCACGGGGCAGCAGTGCCTGCCCCTGTCCATGGATGTCCGGCAGCCCCAGACCATCGTGGCCGCGGTGGATGAGGCGCTGAAGGAGTTCAAGAGGATTGACATCCTCATTAATGGTGAGGATGGAGAGGGCAGGGCAGGGTTTGGGCTCACTGCTGGGCAGGGTGTGTTCCTGCACAGGCATCCCTGGGGGCACAGAGGAAGCAGAGGTCTGTGTGTGATCCATGGCCATCCCTGTTTGCCTGGGTGTGCATCATCCCTGCTCCCCTCATGCTGCAGGGCACCCAGAGCCACCAGTTTATCCCTTACCAGGGCTGTGTCCATGTGCTCTCTGGCATGCAGACATTATCCCTCACCCTCTTTGGCACAGAAGGGCCCTGACATCTCTCCCAGCCCTGTCCTGCCTGTCTCTGTGGTTCAGGTGCTGCAGGGAACTTCCTGTGCCCAGCCAGTGCCCTGTCCTTCAACGCTTTCAAGACAGTGATAGACATCGACACCATGGGCACCTTCAACACCTCCAAAGTCCTTTTTGAGAAATATTTCCGGGTAAGTGGCATGGAGCCAGGGGACTCTGAGGAGAGGGTCTGGTGAGCAGGGGGTAGTGTCAAACCACACTGTGCTCCTGGGCAAATCAGGGAAGTGCAAGGACCCAGAGCCTCCCTGCACAGATCCACTCTGTTCCCTTCCAGGGATCCCAGCCCTGAACTGGGGATCCTCCTGTCCCTTGCCCTGGGGCTTTGTGCTGTTGCAGCACCTTTCCATGCTCTGCCACCTGGAGAAGCTGTGATCTCCTGCCCCTTTCCCAGCTCTGCCACTTTGCCTTGGCCTTTCCTTCTGCCCTGCATGTCCCACCTCTCCAGCAGGACCCCGCTGACTGCCCCACCTCTGAGATTCAGTGGGTAGAGCTGCCCCAGTGATGGCTTGGCAGTGCCCATGGGTGTCTGTCCCTCCAAGCCCAGCTCTCCTGTCCCTCAGAGCCCTCTGTGTCCGTTTGTGCTGCTCCCTGCCTAACTCCACATCTCCTTTCCTTTCCTTCCCCAGGACCACGGTGGGGTCATCGTTAACATCACGGCGACCCTGAGCTACCGAGGGCAGGCCCTGCAGGTGCATGCTGGGGCTGCCAAGGCTGCCATAGGTACCTCAACACACCCTGCTGGGGCCAGGAAAGAAGCCAGTTCTTCCTAAATTCTGGGATGAGAAGATGCCTTGTGGGGGGGGCAAGCGTGAATCAGTGTGTTACTGCATGCCTGGGTTTGGGATGAGGCTCTTCTCCCCTCCAGGGCCCTTTGCTCTCAGCCAGACTGTTCTGCAGCATTTTTTCCCCCTCAGAAGAAGTTGCTGGGATGGCTCTGCTCCCGTTTCTCACTGCTGTTACAATCTCTCCCCAGATGCCATGACCCGTCACCTCGCAGTGGAGTGGGGACCCAACAACATCCGTGTGAACAGCCTGGCCCCCGGCCCCATCACGGGCACCGAGGGCTTCCGACGCCTGGGTGAGGCAGCCTGGGCTCCCTGCCATGGCACTGCCCTGCTGCCATTCCCTGGGAGGGGACTGGGAGGGACCCCCAGTGCCACACAGCTCCTGGGGGGTGGCTGCTGGACACGGCTGTGCTGTGGCTTGGCTGGCCCAGCACTGTGGGAACATTCCCACATCCCTGGTAGCTCCCAGGGCTCTGTTTTGGCATCAGGTTAGGCTCTCTGATGCCATGATGGAATGTGCTCCCCCAAAACACAGCCCTGCCTGAGGGGTTGGCTCCTGTAGTCCATCAGCAGAGTTCTGCTGCAGCTGCAGAGGATGGGAAAGAGCTGGAGCTCTTAGAGTGGGTCCAGAAGCCATGGAGATACTCCAAGGGCTGGAGCCCCTCTGCTCTGGAGCCACAGAGACCTCAGAGCCCCTTCCAGGGACTAAAGGGGCTCCCTTGGGATAAGGGATGGAGGGACAGGACACAGGGAATGGCCTCCCACCACCAGAGGGCAGCGCTAAATGGGATATTGGGAAGGAATTCCTGGTTGTGAGGGTGGGCAGGCCCTGGCACAGGGTGCCCAGAGAAGCTGTGGCTGCCCCTGGATCCCTGGGAGTGCCCAGGGCCAGATTGGACAGGACTTAGAGCAGCCTGGGCTAGTGGAAGGTGTCCCTGTCCATGGCAGGGGAGTAGAAGGAGAGATCCCTTCCAAACCTAAGCATTCCATAATTCCATGGTTCTAAAGTTATTGAGGTCCTGTCTGAGCTTGCTATGTAAATACAAAATCCCTGCTGAGCTTGAGCTCCCTTCCTTTAAATCTTCCCAGGTTTTTATCACAGGGCTGTGCCAGGATCTCATCCCAGTTCCCTGGAGCACTCAGCCAGCCCCATGGGCAGTGCTGCAGTGCCTGGCCGGCCATGGTGGTGGACAGTCCTCCCATGGTCCAAACTGACTCTTTCCTGCTCCTTTTAGGTGGGAGATTTGCCGAGAAATCCGACCAGTTCTCCGTGATCCCGCTGCAGCGCGCGGGGAACAAGACGGAGATCGCGCACAGCACCCTGTACCTGGCCAGCCCCCTCTCGTCCTACGTCACCGGCACCACCCTGGTCGTGGATGGTGGGAGCTGGCTCACCTCCCCCAACAGCTTCTCTGCCTTGCTGGGTATTGCCTCCTCCTCTGCTAAACTCTAGGTGACTGCATTTCCCCCTCGTGGGATGGAAGCAGGGCTTCTCAGGGAAACTTTGTTTTTTCCGGGGGCACAGGGCACAGGTCCCATGAGGAGCAGCTGAGGGAGCTGGGGAAGGGGCTCAGCCTGGAGAAAAGGAGGCTCAGGGGGAACCTTCTGGCTCTGCACAACTCCCTGACAGGAGGGGACAGCCGGGGGGGATCGGGCACTGCTCCCAGGGAACAGGGACAGGACAAGGAGAAACTGCCTCAAGTTGTGCCAGGGGAGGTTTAGGTTGGGTCTTGGGGAAATTTCTTCACAGAAAGGGTGGTCAGGCCCTGGCACAGCTGCCCAGGGCAGTGATGGAGTCACCATCTCTGGGAGGATTTAAAAGTCGTGTGGATGTGGCACTTGGGGACATGGGTTAGTGGTGGCCTTGGCAGTGCTGTTGAGCAGTTGGGTTTGATGGTCTTAGAGGGCTTTTCCAACTTCAATAATGATTCTTAACCATAATTCTCCTGGGGCATGGCATGGACATGTCCGTGTGGACAGTCCTGGGGATCAATTGGGACGAGCAGAACTTGCTGGATTTTCCCTTGGAGCCTGGCTTGTGACATGGTGTCTTTTGGATGCTTCTCCAGACACCTCTGAGATTCCCCCAAAGCAGCATGATGCCCATTTTCTGTGCCCCAGCAGCAGGATTGAGCACAAAGAATGCCAAGAGCCTCTTCCTTTCATGAATTCCTGCAGCCTGGCAGGGGAAGGGCTCTCCTGCCTTCCTCTCCTCCCTGCCCGTGTCCCACCTGGCAGCCTCCATGAGCTGGGCAGGTCCCAGCAGGGCTCTGTCCCCACCTCCTCCCTCTCTTGCAGATGTCTGGGCTGCAGGAGCAAACCAACCCCAGTGATGGACAGCGTGGGACTGACCAATGGACAGATGTGACCTGGGACAATGCGGGGGACATCTCCCAGAGCCAGTGCCCACAGCCACAGCCTCTCCTCGGCCAGTGGTGGCAGTGGTGACACTACCAGCCCCGTGTTTGCCTGGGGGACACAGCTCTGGGGGTGCCCACCCCCAGCCTATGCCATTGCTGCCTTCTGAGCTGGTGTGGCTGTGGGTGCAGAGACAGCATGGTGGGCTGGGATGGTCATTGTCCCTTTGTGGCTCCCTCCAAGCTGCTCTTGTGGCCTCTCCCAAGCCTCAAGCAGTTCCACCAATGGATACCCATCCTCTTAGTCCCCTCTCCCCTATCTGAGCCTGAGAACTGCCCAGGACCCCCAGCAGCAGCTCCTTTTGGGGAGGGGGAGCAGCTCAGCCCACCTGGGGTCGGGGTCACCCAGTATGATGGTCCCAGTTCTGCCTTGGCAACTTCTGGAGGGGAATCTCTGGCAGCGGGAGGTGGCTGTGTCCCCAAGGGGTCCTGGGTGGGACAGAAGTCCTGAGAGGCTGCCAGGGCTGTAGCTGGGATGCCCCTCTCCAGGGAGCAGAGGGGGTGTGAGGACCACAGCACTGCAGGTGTCCAGTGGTCTGTGCACACCCATCTGTCTGTCACTGCAGTGTCACACTGCCTCCTTGCAGGCACTCTAGCTGAGGGTAAGAGAAGGGCTAGAACTGGAATCCAGTCCTTGCCTCCTGCTGGGCTGCAGGAGCCACAGTGGGGCTGCTCGGATGGTGCTGCTGGAGCCAGCTCTGTCCCTGGTGCTGGTGCCCCAGGGGACATAGGCTGCTCCTGTGCACCCTCTCTCTGCTGCTGGTAGCTTTTAGGCTCACCCTGGATGCCATGAAGCTTGTTCTCCTACTTAATTGTATTTCCTACTTGATTGTAGATTTGCCAGGTTTTGCTCCTTCCTCCAGGCCACAAATAAAGAACTTGCCCCTGAGCAGTGATGCCTCTCTCTGCTGCATGAGCACCAGTGCCAAGCTCAGCAGACTGGTCCTGGTGGTCCAAACTGGGCCCTGAGGGAGGGGGGAGAGCCACTGCTCCCACTGCCAGAGCCTTGTGTGGCTCCAGTCCCTAGCTTTGTGGTGCCCCAGTGCTCCTGGCCCACGGGGCTTGGGGACCTGCCAGCTCCTCAGCCCCAGTGGCTCTGGGAAGGTGGTTCCAGCAGCAGAGGTGGTGGGGAGGTGCTGAGGGCTCTGGTGAGAGACTCAGGCCTTGAGAGGGATGGGGATGTGGGGCTTGGGCTGGGATCTGGGTACTGTCCTGGGGCTCCTGGGATTTGGCTCCTGGCACAATTCCTGGGTTACAGGGTGTGTTTTCTCCTGGAGAAGGTGCTTGTGTGATGTGTGTTAGCCCTTGTCTCTAACCTGCATCCCTGTTCTGGGAGGCTCCACGGATTTCACAGTTCAACCATGACCAGGTGGCTTGGGCTCTGTGGCCACTGCAGGACGAGGGAGCTGAGCTTGGCCATGTGCTTCCAGCACCAGGGGAAGGACAGAGCTCCGGGCCCAGCCTTGGCATGGCCTGGAGCTGCAGGAACCCATCCAGGGGCACAGAGCTGCCCCTCACAGCACCAGGCTGGCACCTCCAGCCCTGCAGGCACCTTGTTCTCCTGCCAGTGCCATCCACGCAGGACCCCTGGCTGCCTGAGCTGTCTGGAAAGTGGGAACTGTATTGCCCAGGGGATTTTGCAGGGAATGGTTTGGGCAATGTCACCGTGCAGCTGTGCTTCCCCTGTGGGACTGACAAGTCCCTGCTCACCTTGAGGAATGGCTGTGATGAGGATTTGGAGCAGAAGTTTCCATCCTTCCCAGCGCTGGACTGGCTGGACAGGGGTGACATCCTCTCTGGGATGCTGAGTGTGCTGGGGACACACTGTGGCCCAGCCAGGCAGATCCTGAGATGTCACACACATCCATGGCCTGGGCAGGGTCACTGGGGCCAGGGATGCTCTTGCTCATCAAATTTGCTGCTAATTATACCCAGGGGCTGTAATTCCACCCGCTGGGCCAGCTCATGGGTGTGCTAGCGGGGTCATCCCAGTGCTGCAGCAGAAACTGCAGGTGCACCGAGCCTGCAGGGCCCCAAACACGGGCATTAATTATTTCATTGACGTGGTCCCAGGGTGTCCTGGTGCTCAGTTCCCGCCTGGAGCAGCCCCACTAGGATTGGGGGTCCTGGAACACAGCTCATCTCCTGAAGGGGATTTGGGGTTCCACTGCACAGTTTATACCTGGAGCAGCTGGGTGGTCGTGTTGCACAGCTCCCCTCCACAGGGGGTTGGGATCCCAGAGTGTGGTTTGGGCTCCCAGAGCACAATTTGGGTTTGGGATGCTGGAGTATGGTTTGGGATCCTAGAGCACAGTTTGGGGTCCCAGAGCACGGTTTGGGTTTTGATCCTGGAGCATGGTTTGGGACGCTGGAGCATGGTTTGGGTTTAGGATGCCGGAGCATGGTTTGGGTTTGGGCTCCCAGAGCACGGTTTGGGTTTGGGATCCTGGAGCACAGTTTGGGTTTGGGATGCCGGAGCATGTTTGGGTTTGGGGTCCCGGAGCACGGTTTGGGTTTGGGATGCCGGAGCATGGTTTGGGTTTGGGACCCTGGAGCACAGTTTGGGTTTGGGATGCCGGAGCACGGTTTGGGTTTGGGGTCCCGGAGCACGGTTTGGGTTTGGGGTCCCGGAGCACGGTTTCTCAGCAGGAGTTTTGGGGTTCCCATTCACGGTGCCCCCTGGTCCCACGTGCTCGCGCCCCGCCCGGCCCCGCCGGCCCCGCCCCCGCCGCGCACGAGCCGGGAGGGGGCGTGGTCTCGGACGGGCTCGCGCCGCGGAGGGGCGGGGCGAACCGAACGGGCAGGCGAGTGACGTCACCGCCCCGGCTACTGCGGCGGCGGCCGGGCTGGATCTGCCGGTTCTCCGCGGGCAGCCCCGGAGCGGCGGCGCGGGCGGGCGGCCGGCGGGGTTGTATCTCGGCACCGCCGTTGTCTCCTCCATCCCCGGTCCCGGCAGGACCCGCGGCCCCGGCGCTCGCAGCCGCCGCTCCCCGGGCGGGGCGGGACCGGCGGGGCCGCCCCCGGTGTCGGCGGGCGGGGCCGGAGCTCCTCGCACAAAGCCGTGAGTGCCGCGGGGACCGCACCGGCACCGGCACCGCCCCGATGTGAGCGGGGCATGGCCGCGGGGCATGGCCCGGGGCGGGCGGCAGCGGGCGCGGAGCGCCGGCGGTGAAGATGGAGCCGCGTCCGCCTGGGACCGAGCCCCCGCTGCCCCGGGGGCCGGGACCGGGGCCCGAGCCAGAGCTGGAACCGGAGCCGGAGCTGGACCTAGAACCGGAACCGGAGCCAGAGCTGGAAACAGAACCAAAGCTGGAACGGGAGCCGGACCTGGAACGGGAGCCGGACCTGGAACAGGAGCCGGACCTGGAACCGGAGCCGGACCTGGAACAGGAGCCGGACCTGGAACAGGAGCCGGAGCAGGAACCGGAGCTGGATCTGGAACAGGAGGCGGACCTGGACCCGGAGCCGGAGCTGGATCTGGAGCTCTGGGCACTTGAGGCCGCCGCTCCCGGCGCGGAGCCGCCGCCCTGGTGCCCGGGGGAGGCCGCGGACAGCCCGGGCCCGGGGGGCCCCGCCGAGCCCCCGGCGGAGGAGGAGCCGCGCCTCCGCCCGGTCTTCGACGCCCTGGACCGCGACGGCGATGGCTTCGTGCGCGTGGAGGAGTTCGTGCAGTTCGCCACGGCCTACGGCGCCGAGCAGGTGAGTGCCGGGCACCGGGCACGGACACCGCACCTGCCCACCGCTGCTGGCTCCGGGCCCGGCCACCGCGGGCGGCGGCACCGCTTGGTGTCCGGTGATGGACCCGCCCGAGGATGATGCGGATCGTGGCTCCTGTCCGGGTCCGGTCCTTTGACAGCGGCAGTGTCCCCAAGGACAGCGCTGGCATCGCCGTGGCCCCGGGTGAAGGGCACGGGCGGCCCGAGCGGCTCCCCCCGCCCCGGGAGGAACCGGAGCCGCCGCGTTCGGGGCAGCAGCACCGCGGCGGTGCCGCCGGGAGCCGGCGGCTCTTTGTTCTCCATCGCTGCCGCCTCGGGGCTTGCTGGGCAGCGGGGACATCCCGGGCTGTGCCGCTGCGCCGTGCACCCCTTGCTGGCACCGAACTGGCCGTGGGTCACCTCCAGAACGGGGAGCATCCCTGCCATGGCAGGGGTTTGGAATGAGGTGATCCATAAGGGCCTTTCCATCCCAGACCATTCCCTGGTTCTCTGCTACCTCGCTTATCAGGGTTTGACAGTCTGAACGGGTATTTTTTCCCCCCTTTCTGCTGCTGTTCCCTGGCGAGCCGGTGTTCCCCTGCAGCAGATCAGAGGCGATGTAATTTGAAGCTTCCTGGGCTGACCCAAAATGGAGCAAGCTCCGGCAGCGCTCGCCAGGGGATGGAGATGAATTTGTTGGTGTTTCATGCATTGACCTGGGCTGGCATCGCTACCAGGAAAAGAAGATTTCTTTTTTTAAGGCGTGCAGGTATTGCTGTGAAGTTTCCCTGTGCCTGCCCAGATCTGCTCTCGTTCTCCATCCGTGGCTGCTGCCCGGGTATTTAAGTGCCATGACAAAGCAAATCATGTGTGAAGGAGGCTTTTGGTGGAGGAGGGCTTTTTATCCCTATCCTCGTGCTAGAAACACCCCTCAAAGATAAAAGAAAGGTATTTATTGTAGAAAAATAGCCCTGCAAAGTGGAGCCAGAGAACTTCTTTGTGTTGCTGGTGAGGGCACTGTGTGTGCTGAGGGTCTCAAGGTGTGAGCACAGGTACCTCGGCTGCACCTGCCTGTGCCAGAGAGAGGCTTTATTCCTGAATCCTCTGTTCTGCCTGTCCTGCTGTGGGCCAGGCTCCCTGTGCCACCGCCGTGTCCCCCCGCTGTCCCCAGCAGGAGCAGGCGATCCAGGGCGGCTCCTGGCTCCTGCACACGGTGCCACCTCCCCGGGGGACGCTTTGCCTTCGTGTCCCCTGGCGTGGAGCAGCCCAAGGACGTGGGAAATGGGGACAGGAGGTGGCGTGTGCATGGCAGGGGACGTGGCAGGTGGCTCTGGGCTGGGTGGCTCAGCCCAGCAGCGCCCGGTGCTGGCGTGGGGATGGTGCCAGAGCTCCAGAGGGGCCTCACTGAGCCTGGAAAACACTCTGAGACCTTGGCCTGGGCACTGGCTGTGGGCTGTTAAGGTCACTCCAAAGCTCAGGAGAGGTTCCCTGGAGGTTTTGTGCCCCTGGATAGCGTCTGTCTGTCTGTATGGATCCATCTGGGAAGGATCCCTGTTCCATCCTGCTGAGCACAGCTAATGCTGCCTGTGCTGCCATAAATGATGCTTTGAAAACCCATTTCTCTTCAGCAAGAGGCTGGTACAGGCAGCTCTTGGCATGCAGGACAGCTGGGTGCTGGTACAGCACCTTGGGGAGGTTGGTGTGGCAGTGCCCGAGCCAACAGCCCTGGGCAGTCCAGGGGACTGGCAGAGGAGGAAAGGTGATGTGTGTGTGTGCAAGAGGACCTGGTGTGAGTCTGCAGCTGAGAAAAGACCAGGGCACACGGAGGGAGGAGGAGAAGGGGTTGGTGATTGGGTCTGTAAGCTCCTGGCAGATCATGGAATCACAGAATATCCTGAATGGGAAGGGTCCCACAAGGATCATCCAGTCCAACTCATGTTCCTGCACAGACACCCCAACAATCCCACCCTGGGCATCCCTGGCAGCGCTGTCAAACACTCCTGGAGC